CATTCTTGAAAAAATTGAATTCCTATATATATATATATATATATATATATATATAGGAACACCTTAGGATTTACATATATCTGTTTTATAATAATAAAATTATGAATACCTTAGGATTTACATGAATTCCTCGATCCGCGAATAAGCTGAAATCTCTAATGAGAACATCCTTGATCATATCCAAATCGTTAACAACAAGAATAGGAGATCTTCCTTGAAATACTCCAAAAACTAACTCGTTTTTGTATTCTTGATATAATTGTTTTGTTTTTTCGGCCAGTGATATTTTTTTGAAGATAACTTCTTGGAAATTACCAAAAAAGATCATAGGTTTTGGTCCAGGTATGCCATGATTCTTCCATGTGTCAAAAGTTAAAGTGAAGTAATAATAAATCGCGAACAATAACGCTCCAATGGCGCAGAGAAGTTGAAAATAATCCATGTTGTATCAAACTTTCTAAATAAATACAATAATAAAATAAATTATAAAAGATCAATTAGTCAAATCTCAATTCTCGTGATTGAAAAAGTTGTTAGTATCTTTTTAAATTTTATTCATCATGCTGATTTGTAAAGAATAAATAATGCGTAGATGCATAAAATATGTAAAACATATACGTTCAATTAAAATAACATTCGATCTTCATTGAAATAAAAAGAAACAAACGTATTATTCAATTAATTTTTCGAAAAATTTTTGTTAAATTAAATAATTAATTAAATAAATAACTAACTTATCTCAGAATAAAAATAAATAACACAATAACGTAATTGTTACAATTTCTTTAAATGGAGAGATCAATTTCTTTTATTTCGATATCCTGCTACGATGAAATATAAAACGATTCTGCTGAGTTGGTGATTTCACGATAAAATAAAATACTCGTATTCAGTTATATCATTAACTGTGATCTGTTTTTTTTTTTTTTTTTTTTTTTTAATCCCCACTTGTACTACATGACAAATCAAATATTGATACTTATTATAGTTATTTAACAAGATTACAGAGAGATATGGGTATTAAATTATTAATGTTATATTATTAATTAGTGTTAAATATATCAGTATATAAAACTTTTATATAAATTGATATAATATGTAGAATCTAATGTAGAATCTATACAGAATCCTTTATATAATAATGACTTTTCCATTGATGAAAATTTCTCTACTTCATTTGAGATCAATTGGTCAATATTCTTTTTTAATTTAAGAAAATTTACATGAGAGAGTTGGAATAAATTTATAATTCGATATAGTATTCTTTGTTTTTTTGTGTATAATATCTTTTATTTTTTCTTTAATTTCTAAGAATTTTATTATATACCAATCACTATAGAGAATATTTTTGATTGATATATATTTTTATATATCAATTATATTTTCAATTCAATTTTAGTTCAACATTATTTATAATATAATATAACTATTATTTTATTTTTTAAAAATAAAAAAAAATATTTTACACTAATAAAAAAAATCACTTTTTTATATAAAAAACAATATCTTTTTTTGTAAATTTTTACAATGTATTTTTGTACTATATATTATTTTCAGTCATATTCAAAAAATAAATAAATTGAATTTTATATTCATAAATTAAATATATTCATAAAGACTAAAAAAGTAATTGTATTTTCTTAAACTAACTTAGTTAAATAAGAAGTACAATCCATAAATTTATAATTTATCATATTAATTTAGCTTTGCTACATAAATATTATAAATATAGTTTGGTTATATAAATAAGTGTAAGATAAACTGCGCAAAAAATTATTTATTTAACTAGATCTTAATTTTTCAATTATTAAATCGATTAAGTTAACGATATTATTTATAGATTAGTATTGATGATTTATAATCTTTCATATTAAAATTGAATATAATGATAGGAAGAAAAAAGATATTTACCATTAACTTGTCAGAAGATTATAACGTTTGTAGTCTACGTACAATTCTGGATATAAAACTGGAAAGAAGACGTAAGGTTAAAAAATACAGATTTGATTGGTTGCAATCTTACCACATATTTTTTCACATATAATTTCAATCGCAATCCATCTTAATTCATATATATATTCAACATAAAGGAGATTAATTGTTTTATTAGTCATTAGTGACCTTCTACGTGATCATTTAAAAATTTTAAAAACTTTTAACTTTTAGAGATGAAAATAGTAAAAAAACTCATATCTTTCCTTGTTTATTTTTTTTTTATAGTAAACATTAATCCTTATATTACTTATGAATTATTTCATAATACAAAAATATTAAATATACTATAGAACATTAAAAAAAATACAAAAAATATTACAAATAAGATTAAAAAATATAAACAAATAAAAAATAAAAAAATACTACAAAATAAACACTAATAAATATTTAATTTATTACAATGTTTAATATATCCTAACTTATAAGATAGATAATACTAGGTTATACAACAAGCTAAGACTATTATATAGAAATTCAGACAAGTTAATATTTGTGAGAAGACGTTCGTGCATTTGTCCCTCTAGTGGCGAAAATAGAAAGGACGAGACTAGATGAACTAATTTGTACTTAAAACGTTCATTCATATTGTATCTATATAATATAATGTAAATATATAATATAATTGATAAATTATTTTTTAATATTTAATTATTCTTTTAATATTATATTATATATTATTATATAAATATAAAAATAATTGAAAGGAACTGAAAAGATAAGAATAAGAATAAGGAAATAAAGGAAATTAAGAAAAACAAAATTAATTAAAATATAAAACATTCAAATATATATAAAATAATATAAGAAAATAAGCATAATTATTGTTTTTTCAATTATTTTTATAAATTCATAGTGTAATTTTTTTCGAAATTATTTTTTTATTAAAATGACAAATTATTATAAATCGATTATATTATATATATATTAACAATATTAATTAAGAATTAAAATTTTATACATAACAAAAACAAAAAATATTTTTAAAAAAATTGAAAAATAATAACAATTATATTTATAAATAATAATTTAATACTTGAATTAATAATAATTAATATTTAAAATGTATATATTATAGTTTGAAATTGAGATCAAATACTTATTTAGTTAATAAAAAAATGAATATTATTATATAATAATAATTATTTTTTATATTAACATTAAATCTTAGTTATTTTTAAGTACACTCCTCCTTTTAGCGCCAATAAAAAGCTACGTTCATCAGATTTGAAGGGAATCGTGGTTTTTTCACAAACATTAACTTTGTGATTGCGAAGAATTGTCGTAAGACCAACCTTGCTTTGATAATGCGCAAAACGAGCACCTGAAAACAATTTTTAAAATTTACGAAATTGCATTTAATTTACATATAAATATTACAAATTATGTGTCATCTTACGAGATAGATTATCAATAATTATAAAAATTATCAATAGATTATCAATAATAATAAAAATAAGAAAATTATTCGATTTAATGTGGATAGATTAAAAAACATACCGATG